TCCTGTCGCCTGTAGCGGAGTTGGCGTTTCGTTAAATACGCAGCAGCTGCTGTACGTGCCGCTAAAGGGTTGTGCCTCTGCGGATGTGTGACTGTGCTGGTAGTGCTGCGTAGCAGTTGAGATAAGTGAACGCTGTGATGTGCGTTCCCAGTAGAAACGGCTGGATGAGCCTACCTAGACTGGTTTTGCTGTTAGACCAGTATATCCAGAATAAATCCCCAGGCCCCTCTGAGCAATACTTCCAAGTTGCAGTTGCAAAATCTTACAGGGAAGGTTGAAATCCTGTAACACTTGGCAAAATGCTAAAACCCATAAAGCATTCCCATTTCTAGTGGGCTCTGTAGGTGTTTTCCTGCTTGGTCGTCTTTTTTTTTTGATGTAAATCCCAAATTATGTTAAGATTACAGAAGATTACAGGTGCCTCCTCCCCCTGAAGAAACTGATACTTTGTAGTGATGAAGCCGTAATTTAAAGGTCAAGTAAGGTCTTTGGAGTTTCTCCTCGGAGATGTTAGCCAGAGGGATTCTTTTCAGATTGATGGCTTCGCTGCTTTACTGGAGGCCAGGCCAAGCAGCTCGCTGCTTTTCTGCAGGCCTGCCAAGCTTTCCTGTGCTGTCTGGTGACCTAGTCCCAGCACCACGAACGTTTGAGGGGGCTGCTCAGCGGATCGCACCGAGGCAGCGTGGTTCTCGCCGAAGCTGGGCTCGGGGAGTCGTTAGAGCCGCGCTCGATCTACGGCTCTTCTGGGAGCCCCTCGCTGTAATTGCCTGGTGAGCTAATCTAATGAGCGTGCCTGTTATTTGCACCCCTCCGGGTGACATTGTTCTTGTTTTTAGTTGAAAGGAGGAAGTTTTTCTTGTTTGCCCAGTGACTCTGTTGCTGTGGTATGAAGATGAGTAATGCTGGCGCTGCTCCATGCACCTGCTGGGTGCCACCCTCCGCGCTCACCTGAGCCGCAGCCAGCAGAGCCGGGCAGGGATGGGTGAGTGGAGGCCGGGAAGGGTTTGCGGCCGGAGGCTGAAGCCTGCTTCTGGCTAGCAGCAGGTGCCGAAATGGTATCGGAGCTCCGGGGTTCGCTGCGTGCCGCCTTGTGCGCTTGGGTATTGGCGCCAGACCTTGGGAGCCTTCATTCGCAAGGACTGTCCTAGCCTGTGGTCTCTCCCTTGCTCCAACGTGGGTAGGGCCGACGTGAAGTAAAGAGTGTTCGGCGATAGCGTGCACCGTTCATGAAATAATCTTTGGACACCACCCTGGTGACAGTGTTTCGAGCCACTTCAAAGAGAGCGGGTGTGCAGAGTAACCCTGTTGGCAGTGGTCTCGCGGGTGCTCGTGTGAAGAGGAGTTTGCAGGATCAGGCGACCAGCCTGCTGGTTTTTGTGCAGGCCTCGTAGCAAAGGTGTATTGCTGTGAAACAGTGCGAGATTTGGCCTGTGAGCCCCTCTGAGATTGCCCGTGGACTGACTTCATATATAGTCCCTTCTATGCTATCTGTCTGGTATTCCCTTCCCGTTTTACAGGAGGCAGGTATTTCTGAAGACAACTGCGTGCTAAAAAGCACCCTAAGACCCTCATCTAACTGGTGAGCGTCCCATCACCAGTAGCCAGCAAGCACAAGTAGTAGCGTGTACGTGTCTTTTAAGAAAAACATGGAATTACTTAGCAAAACCTTGAGGCCACTTGGAAGCCCACTGTCCACAGAAGCTCCGTTTGCTGAGCGCTCGAGTTTGAAGTCCATCCCTGGCACTGGATTGTTTTGTATATGAGCGGTACAGAACTGAGTGTTAAAACTGAAAGTGCTTAACTGTACTCCAGCCTTTCTGAGGCGGTGAACCTGTTCCCATCCCACCTGATGCGTAAGCTAATTAGCTTCTTGGCTAAGCAGTAATTCGGGGCAAGTGCGTACAGGCTGCCCTCGCAGGGACTCTTGCATTCCTCTCGGTTTCACAAGCAAAGGGAAGATGCTTCTCTTTGCTTGCGAGGTTGTTATTGCTCCATGCAGGTTAATTGAGCTATAGCGTTATAGCCACTCATCAAACAGTGGCGAGTAGCTCACTTGTCTAAGCTTGTTTATTATTATTTTTTTTAATGCTGAGAAATATTTGCATGCTCTACAGAAACGCGCTGCTTTGGTTCCCGACAGCCTGGCAGTGTTGTCGTTTTAAATTCTTCATTAATCCCCGTTCCTCACGGGGGACTGGCAGGGTTCCTGTGCGTAATTGCGTGATGTTTAAGGCAGAGGCCTCTGTTACTGAGTTTCTACACAATGCCCTGCAAGCATAGGCCTTTTCTTCCTTAAGTAGTACCTATAAATTCCCCCTTTGTGCCCGTTCTTGATGCAGCGCTATTTGCAGTTCCTGCGTTAGTTCGTCTGTCGGTTCTAGGCTCAGATTTCTGGCTCAAGAACATACAACTATAAACTGTGAATAATTTTAGAGCAGGAATTAAGATAAGGCACTAAACTGGTAGAGCTACGATGCTCAGCATCAAACTGCCAAAACTACGAGCACTGATTCAGCCTGGAAAATTTACCCCGCAGCAATTCTTTGAAACAGAATTGCTCTAGAACCGAATTTTCCCCTTAAAAAGCAACGTGTTTCTAGACTTGGTGATTAGGAGCACCACCCATGCATAGGGTGATTATGCACCACCCATGCATAAGCCAGTATAGTTTTGCAAAGATTTTTGGAAATCTGAAATAAACCAAGTGTAGTTAGCTCTTTTCAACCCTATCCATTTCGGCAGATTTAGGCTAAACCCTAAAAGATGTCTGTTTAAAGTGTCCACAGAACCTATTCCAATTTTAGCATAAGTGATCAGATAGTATGATTATGCTCAAAGCCACAAACCACATGTGTGTGTGTGTGTGTGTGTGTGTATACGCCCTATCACAACAACTTTTCCCGTGCACCTCACCAATTTCAGTACAAGAGTCTTTGGCGCACTGAAACTGCTGGAAGAGCCCAGCACAAATAGAATTTGGTGTCCAAATAAATAACACATGGGCTTCAGTACCAGTTGTGCTGTTCATTTTTATGTTTCGTTACATTAAAAAGTTCAGCTAACTGGTTCTGCCATGGAGTTTCCAGTTTACTCGGAAAGCGGATTCCAGGAATCCTGCCACCCAAGTTAGCAGCTGCACAAGATTCCCCTTGTTAATTAAAAATAGTAGGGAAGAACTGAAGAAAAAATAAATAAGCCTAATGCTAATAGTTGGTGTGTAAAGAAAATTGATTCATTAGCCAGCATACAGCCATAGTGTATCGCAGTCCACCTTTTGTTCTGGATTTCCAAGCTGATTGCTAGTTTGCATCCGCCCTAAAATTAGTACTAGTCAATCACAGGAAATACTTTCAGTGTGAACTGTGGCCTTCCTTCATTGGATCAGTAGAATAAGCTTGTATTGCTGTGATATAAAACCGTGCGTGTGAGATGGTTGCGTACAGAATTACTTCCTTGAGCGTTTGAAGGAGTTAAACGTGCACAGATTGGATTTGTCTGTTGAGAAAATCTGTAATGCAGAGAGGCAGAATCTCAAGCTGGGTTGTATCTTTGTATTAAAAAAATAAACACCTCCCTCCCCCTTACATTTTTCCAGTTGAGACAAAAGAAATCTTTGGGTGGAAAGGCAGCATCACATTGCATAATAAAAGCCTTTTTATGCTCTAATAAAAAGGGTTGCTTAGGGCAACTTTGTTTTTAAAAGGAAAAAAAAAATGAGTCAGTGATGATATTGGTGTGAGGGGGACAAGGAATCTTTAACTTTTCTTGTGCAATACTGGGAAAAGAGGCTAGAAATTGCTCTAGTTATCTGCTATCTTAATGCTTGGTTTAAAGGTTCTTTGCTGCATATTTGCTGGCAGCTGTTTTCAATATATCCCTCTTGAGCTAAGTCACCAGTTAAGAATTTGACATTAGATGTTTTTTTTTTCAGCCACCATCTTGAAGTACCCTACCACACAACACAGCCTTGTTCCTTAGTTAGATATTGTTCATGTGCCTTGAAATTGCTGTTGACACCTCAAGTATTTAACTTGCAGATGTGAGATAATTTTTGTAGGGTGTGGACGTGTGCCGTAATAAGACCGAGACAGAAGTATCCACGTCTGCATTCCTTCACTACATCTGTTTGTTTTATTTTTTGCCACATTCCAGGAAATTAAGTTAAATTATACATCTGAATGAATATTTTTAATTTCACTAGTTTTGTTATAATTGCCTGCTCTTAAAATACAAGCACGCTGCGCGCGCAAGTATGCTCCATTTCTTTTGCCTCATCTTTTGCACCTTTTTCTTTAGGACACCTTCTGTAGCAGATTTAACTCCTTCTTGGTTAACACACCTAAACACACATTTTTCTGTGTTTGCCTGATTCTTCCCTCAATAGTTAACGTTTTTCTAGTGCTTTCTGTTCTGAAAGGGAAAAATAACGCAATTAAAGAATGCTTTGGGAATTAGAGCTGGGCTCTGCAGTATATTTCTGGCATATACTTTGGCAATGTCCTTCACTTCCCTCACTTTCCCAATCTGTAAAATAAAGCTAATACCCGTATAGTGGTCATTCTCACAGTCATTTTTGCAGCACAGTTCATGTTTGTAAAGCATTTAGCTATAGCACCTTTCATCAAAGGATTTCTATTGAAAAAGGAGCCGTTAACACAGGGTATCATCATCTGTGCGGCAGCTTTCATTCCTAATGAAAAATAAAACAATGGAGTTAAAGAATTAGCGAGTTTTAATCGCTGTTTCACTTGGAGGCACAGATGGGACAGAGCATTACTTGGCAACGTTTAATCTTGGAGCAGAAATTGTCGTGATTAAAGCAGCAGCTGGAGTAAGATTGTTAGGCACAGGGGTTTCCTTTCATCCTGAAGGGATCAGAATTGCTGGGCTCTGGGAGAAAACAAGGAACTACAAAAGAAAAATGTGAAATGCTGGTCAAGGTTTATTATTCCTAGTGTCTCATCTGCTGATTAAAATGGTGTTTTCAATGCTTTCCTCAGAATTATTTTGGAGGCGAGGAGAGCATCAAGTGATCTGGCCTACTGAAGAGGGGACTGAAGCCATCTCTGAGAGGAGATCTTGGACTTGCAAGAGGAAGGCCCTGTGTCCTCCCACGCGTCAGAACTGCTCCTCCTTACTAAGGAAGTCAAAGTGAAGGAAATAGGTACGTGCCACTTCAAGTAGGATTTCAAGAGAATCTCATTCCAGGCCATTTATCGGAGCCTGAATTTCTAGACTGGTAAGGCGGTCTGGAATGAGAAGGATTTTAACCCTCTCTTTTTTTAAAGCTGGAGAAGGGCTCTGTCTGCCTGACGATATCAAGGCCTTGTGTTTATATTGATAGATCCATGCAGTAGGCTGACTCAACAGAGGAGACCGAGTGGTTATAGAGCTGCAGAAGAAATGACGCTCTTCATTTCTCCTGCCTCCTGCAGTCTGTCCCTGGTTCTGCCAGGGAACAAGCTATTTGGGGCAAGTTACCCTTTGCTAAGGGACAACTTTTTACAGAAGAGTCTCAAAATAGAGTGAATACCGCTGTGTATTCTGCTACTGAAGCAGAGCTGCAGCTCAGCCAGCAAGTAGAGCACGCTCTGGGATGTTATTCTGGACTGTTCTGGCTCAAAAGTAGCTCTGCTTTTAGTTACGTGTCTGAAAGGTATCATGAGTTTTGGCTATTTCAACTCATGCAAGGCCAATGGGCTTAATTTTTAGTAACAACATATTCCTGACTCCACTGGGAGACTGCTCATGCTGTAATCACTGTTGGATTGAATCCACAGGCTGTTGAATCTGTACTTAGGACGTGCTTGACATTAGCTCTTTACGTTTCTTTCATTGGTACACAATGCTTTTTCCTGTCTTTTCCTGTGCTTTAGATCAGACAGCTATTTTTCTTCCTCTTGCTTTTGCATGCATTCAGATGATGGTATTTAGATGTGTGAGGATTTGGTTGCCTTTGTATAGCAGGAAGTTAGAGTCCTCACTTGCACTGGTATGTAGTATTTTCTGTAGCAAGGAGATGAAGCGCTGATCTGACTCTGGATATTTAGTAACTCTAAAGATCTGCTCGTTAACCAGGTATTCATTACTTGCTTTAAATGATCCGGGCTAAGAGATTCCTTTACTTCCTCCGATACATACGTTATCTTAATGGGTGTCTGTGTTTTTCAGTTCTTCCTTAAACCTGACAAATTGCTGATTTCACCCTTTTATCCTGGTCTGCCTGCAAACCTGGGAAATGTGTTTCATTGTTGGTCGCCCTAAGTATAGAGCAAACAGGGCTCAGGCATTTTTACCGTCTTCCTGTGAATTATAGGTCTCCTTTCTGCCTGAAAGTAGCCTTGCTGTCTGATGTATTCAGCATGTATTCCTACAGCTTGCGGTTGATTAATATTCCTATAAACTTGCAAGTCACCTTTCATCACCTTTTGAGGTTTTGCCCCCTGAGCATGCAAGGCCTTCTTATGTTAAAGGGCCTTAATGACCCCTATTGTTATGGGGACCTTTGGTAATCTAACCTGCATTTTTCCTTATTTCAAGCCATTGCTCTTAAATGTCTCCTGCTTGATCCACTCAGGGGCTAATAACCGTGTCTCCTCTCCTTAGGTCAAGGGCAGCTTTTCCGTTCCACCCAAAAGGCACCACAGTTTGAGATGAGGAATTCAGAAGAGCAAGCAGCTACGACAGTTTTGCAGCGCCTGCTGCAGGAGCAGCTCAGATACGGAAACCCAAATGACAACCGTAACCTTCTTGCCTTACATCAACAAGCCACAGGAAATGCCCCCCCTTTCAACAGCACTGGGAGTCCAGCATCTCAGAACGAAGGGCTGAGCTCCCAGGACCACCAGCTTGTGACTCATGCTGCCCGTCAGGAGCCCCAGGGCCAGGAGATACAGGTGGACAACAGCATCATGGAGAAGCAGCTCTCCCCACGACTTCAGAACAGCGAGGATCTCCCGACCTATGAGGAAGCCAAAGTCCAGTCGCAGTATTTCAGGGGCCAGCCGCATGCTAGCGTTGGGGCAGCCTTTTATGTAACGGGGGTCACCAACCAAAAGATGAGGACTGAAGGGCGGCCCACAGTTCAGCGTGTGAGCCCAGGGAAGGTCCACCAGGATGAAGGACTTAAGGACCTCAAGCAAGGACACGTCCGCTCCTTGAGCGAGAGGCTGATGCAGCTGTCCTTGGCCACCAGCGGTGTCAAGGCCCACGCGCCTGTCACGAGCGCACCGCTCTCCCCCCTCTCTCCGCTTTCTCCTCAGCAGTCAAGCGACCCTTATAAAAATTCTGGTTCCAATGAGTTCTACAAGAACTCGGTGCAGCCCCCTTCCCAGCCCAACTTGAAAGGGATGGAGCAGCGGGGTCCTCCTCCCGAGTATCCTTACAAAAATGTGTCCACCCCATCCATGAACTGTAAACCTCAGGACTCGGGACATTTCTATAGTGATCATCGCATGAGCCAGCAGGGAAGATCTGATGGGCCTATGATGAGGTATCAACATCCCCCTGAATATGGGTCAGTCAGGTAAGGAAGGTCTTAGAAAAAGACTCTGTGATGCTTAGCCAGAGGAGGAGAGAAAGTACAACATTCAGTCCATTCCCCTCGCTCCTAAGGCAGGTTATCGTTCAGCAGAGGTCCCATCTCAGTTATGTGAGACTACCTATTGTGCTCCGCTATGGACTGTGTCTGGAGGGACTGTACCCTGTTCCATTAGCTTACCTAGAGAGGTCTGACACTGTGTTTAAAAACAAACAAACAAAAAAACCCAAAGCCAAAAAAACAAGCCAGCTTGTTTTTTTGTTTTTTTGTTTTTTTTTAATGGCATGGAGAAGTTTAACGCGGCTCCAGAGCCCTACAAAAGGTTTGTTAAAAAAGCTAGAGCTGCGGTGTGATTCACTTGAGAAACTTACTGTTACTTATTGCAAGACTAAGCTGTGCTTTAATTAAGTCTGCCAGGACAAAATGTTTTTTTTAGGTTTAAACCGCACCTAAATGCTGCTTAGGGAAGGAGAAAGTGAATGAAAGCAAGAACAGTGGAGGGGGGAACACCACCTGAGCTTCCTCTAGAGTTTTCCAGATTTCGTTTTCAGTGGAGCGTGGGAGTGCAGCATGGAGTGTGCTTTGTGCCTCGTCCCGGATTTGTTTGTTTAGCTTTTGTTTTTGTTGTTGCTTTTTTTTTTTTTCCTTGCCTCAATTGAAATCCCAGCCTGTTCTAGTTTCCTCAAGATCAGAAGCTAATTTTGGCTTGGGCCAAACACTGAAGTGCATGTGGGTGAAGATGAAGTTTTATTCAGGTGGGCTGAAAATACGGCTCTACTCCTTACCATCTCATTTCTGTCTAAAACCAGGCGGGACTGTGGTATAATGATTTAGGCCTGGCTTTGGCGCTAAAGGGGTCATCGCAAAGTAGCAACAGGAGAGAGCGTTACTGAAAAAAGTGCGTGGCGCGAGGGCTGCGGGCGTGTGTGTTTGCCCGTGCTGCGTTGAAACCAGTCCGTTTGGGAACGGAGTCTGAGCTTTGGGGAATTTGAATCCGTTAAGGACCTTCCCAGTCCTGTGGGGAGCTATTTTCAGAGTTTGTCCACCATTGTTTGTGATCTGAAATGACTTCAGCAGCATGCGAGCCCGATGAAAAGGCCCTTTGATCTGGCTAAATAAATAATAAAGAGGCCAGGAAAAGGGGAAGTAAAGGGTTTTTGGGGGGTAGCCGAATGATTGGAGAAGCTCGTTGAAAATGTTTTTGCACGTTCATAGGCCTTGAAGGTCTGTGCACACGGGAAAGGGAGACGAACCCTTAACGGCTATCCTGCATCAGAAACGCTCGTAATATTATACATAGCGTATCCCAGCCCTAGCCTGCTTGCTGCTTGAAAACACGCCAACAGTCAGCTCCTCTAGACAGGGTGATTTTTGTCTGTGTTGGATGGGTCCTGGCTGCCTAGAAAGAAAAGGGGGGGGAGGGGGAGGAGGAGGAGGAGGAGGAGAAAGGTTGCGCTGGCAAGGTTTCCAGTCGGGGAAGCAACTGAAATTTGTCTTCAAAGCACTGGGAATCTAATGAGGTTACTTTTTAACCTAAATAGCTGCGCGGAGAAGAGGTTTCCTTTGCAAGCAGCAAACGCTGAAGCGGGAGAAGGATTGCAAGACTTAATCCCTGAAGTACAGCGTAGCGAGGGCAGGGAGCGAGTCCTGGGTGCCCCTCGCGCGCTCACGCGCTCGGAGACCTTCCGCCTTGCCAGAGGTGCAGCTGGGGGGCGGCGTTGAGGAGCGCGTGTCCCTCGCGCCGGGCAGCGCTGACAGCGGCCGCTCTGCAACCTCTGAAGTATGAAGTACCTGAACCTGAAGTATGTCCAGCCGCTCCGGTTTTCCTGCAGCGGGGCTCTGTGTTTATCGGGATCCGTTTGGGCTGTTAACCACGCGCGTGGTTTCTGGAACGGTCTGTCAAGGAAGCAAAGCCCCTTCTCCCCGCTGGGCGAAGGCACACCCTGGCTGCTGCGGGTTTTCCCCCCCACACACCTCGTTGTTCGGTGGAATTTGAGGGTGACCTACCAGCGCGGTTAAATAAAACTCGTTGAGCAAGATAAACCTTGGGGAATTCACAGCGTTCGCGTGATTCACCCTCCCCAGGCTGGGAAAGGAGCGGGCTGCCTGGTGAGCTCCGACCTGCCTGCACGCAGTTGGCCTCACCCGCTCTGGGGGTGCGCGGGTGCGCTCGTCGGGACGTCGGCTCAGCGCAAATACCGGGCGCGCCGGAGGCGTCTGCGCGGTTATTTGGAAACGTTAAGGCTCGCAAGAGGGCTGGCTGCCTGGGAAGCTCCGAAACGCAGTTCTCGCCCTGTTACGTCAAACGCGCCTTCGTGTCAGTGATGAAAATAAACGTTCGGGTCCGAGCCCCTGAGGCGAGGAGGAGAAGGGAGCCTTGGGCTCGGTGTCCTGCCTAGTCTCCGTGACGGGCAGCACGGCTGGGGGCGGGGGGGGAGGGGGCGCTTTCGGGGCGGGGGGACGGGGACTAATCCCAGTGACTTCACGGAAACCTTCCGAGAAGGAAGCCTGCCGAATTTGTCCCGTAATCAGTAAATCGCGGCTGTGCGCTGCGTTCCCCCGAGCAGCATCAAAGCGGGGCATAATCGGGTATGACGAGGAAGCAGAGCAAAAATGCAGCCGCTTGGTTTCGAGCGGAGGCTGCCCCCTCCTGTGGTTAACGTTGCCCGAGTTACGCGGGAGAGGGGAACTGTAACCGCTCGCGCACGACACAGCCAGGGGAAACTGGGAAGGTGGAAAAGTTTTGAATGAGCCAGAGAGGCCTTGCCTGGTCTCCCTGTTCTTCGGCCGCCCCCGCTTTCCTTCTCTCCCGGCGTCTCTTCTGTGTGCCGTGGGGTTTGCAATCCTGGCAGCATCAGGGCTCCCGATGGCGAAGTTTGCTTGCAAAAGTTACGTTTTCAGACTTAAACAGTTGTTGGAGTTAAATGCACCGATTTTTCTTTCTGCATTTGGGTTTAAAGTCTTTATCGCACTGAGGCAAGTAGAAGGATAGCAAGTGACTTTATTTTCCATGTATTTTTGAGAGTCTTCCTGCATTTTTGCATGAAGTGGTTAGCTCGGGTTTAATTTTAATTACTCCTGCAAGGTTACCTGATTATGGATTATATATCACAGGGAGGGAAGTTTCTATTGCCATTGTATCAACAATTCTGTTAGCTGACCCCGGTAGTGAATTACACCTTACAATTTTGGAGTCTTAAAAATCTCAAAAAGTCCATTTTGGTTCATTTACCTTTCTAAACCTCTGAATCCAAAATTGGGGTAACCGGGAAATAAACTCTGCAATTCCCATGTTAATCTAAGGGATTTCAGAGCCAGATATTTGGAACCCACAAAACACATCCAAGTGTTTTGTCAGACAGAATTGAAAGTGGTGGTGATGCTAAAAGAGTCTTTGAACCCGTATGCAAAAGTTTGCATGCAAGATGTTAAAAAGGTGTTAGCTGTCACTGTGAGATTTCTAGGTAAAACAACCCATCTTTTAAAAAAAAAAATACATATTTCCTTGCCGGATTATCTCATTTTGCTGGCAGTATAAAAGCACTGGTAGCATTTTGGAAGCTGTGCATCCAGGCACTTCCAGAGCTGATAATGCCACAGAACTAGTGGCTCCTAGCTCTCACGTCATGGCTTGAACCCACAAGACTGGTATAATTTCAAGATGTGAAAGGCTGTATATGTGAGTGCCAAAATGCTGGAAATTTTGAAAATGCATCTTGTTAAGAAATACTCGGCCACGATTTTCTAGAGTTCTTCTTTACAATGGGTTTTAAAAAAAAAAAAATCATTACCAGGCATGTCAGTGCAGACTATCCCTTCAGGATTTATCTACTGCTGTTGCTTTTTTTTGGCCGTTCTCGCATTCCTGTTGCGAGTGCTCAGGCCATGTTGCTTCTGGGATGGCAGAATAACGAGGTGCTTCTAATCAGATAGCTCCAACTGTTTAACACTGGCATCTAAATAGTCCTCGTTTGCTTTATAATATTCACACACTGAGATCAGTGGAGTCAAGTTAGCCTCTCCTAGTAATTGCTTCAGGTTCTTTTCAGACTTGGGCAGTATTTTGTGGGTTCAAAACTGGTAGGGTGCTTTTTTGCAGCTATGAGGCAGACTTGCAATATACAGATTTTGATCTTTAGGTCACCATAGATGAACTGTCATGACAAGGTTATGCCATAAATGTTTTTGACATCAAAACAGAGCAATGTGACGTTACGTAAAGAATAAGGTCAAGGAGCCAGATGATTTCTGAAGATGCAAAGTTAGCACGTAACCTGGGTGAGGTAAGAAAGTAGCTGGAAATCATCTGTGATAAACCAGATGATCTTGAGCATGTCACGTGGCCTTTTTGCCTTATTCTCCATTATGAGAACTAACAAATAAAAATAATGAAATAAATGCAGCAATACATAGAGCTGACCTCCCAGGAGAGGAAGCGCCAAGCTGCTGCTACTAAACTGAACATTCCTGAGGAAATTAGTTGCACATCTCTCGTCTGCATGACCCCCCCGAGGTCCTCACGCAGCATATTTCCTGGGGAAAAACAGCTCTTGAAACGATGCTGCTGACAAGGAGCAAATCACTGGAGTGTGAGAAAGAAATGATCAGTATCTAGAGTAGTTATTCTTGTTTTTTTTCCTGTGTCGTTTGTTTTCCTGTTAGGGGGATGTTTCTGTCCTAGTCCCTTAGCAAGGATGCTTGACAAATGCCCCTTCTCTGCTAGAAAGACACCCAACACAGGTATAGCAAACCCTGCGCTGGGTTCAGGGTGTACGATCTCCTACATGCCCTGCCAGCCAGATGTGATTAATACAGCCATTTCCTCTTTGGCCGGGTATGAAGGGTTGATGCGTTTGCTCTGCACAGAACAGGAAGGATGATGCTGAGTGTTTGCACAGTGACAGAGAAGCCCGCCATGTAACCCTTTAGCTCCTAGTTCAGCTCCGCGCCTGCTGTTGTCAGTTGACCTGCTGCTGATGCTCCTGGCATGGTGGGAGAGCTGAGCTGGGGGCTCTCTTGTGCATCCCATACCCCTAGTGCACTCGGAGCAAGCCCTTGGGGTCCTTGGAGGTGGCCGTGGTGAATGCAGACAGCAGTGCGGCGCGTTTGGCACCAGCTACGGTCAGGTGGAACAGGATGTGCTCTTCCAGCCGCAGGATTGAACTGCGGCCCACAGGGTGGGAAACTTTTTATCAGGAGTATTTCAGAACACGTTGAACTGCTAGGCTGGGTTTGCCCCAGCCTCAGCTCTGTGCTCAAGAGGGGACTAGCTGTGGCTTAGGGAGAGACTTCAGCTGCTAGAATAAAGAACATGCCAAGAAGTTGAAGGTTCAATATCTTTAGAGCAGGAAGCACAGTCTGCCTCCTGAGGTCATCCAGCACAATAAACCCACACAATGTTCTAAGAGTAGATGCTTCCTTGTCTAACACAGCAGAAGTTGAGCCTGGGATCTCCAGGGCTTGGAAAATGGAAGCTGATATAGCTTGAGTTAGTTCAGTAGCAGACTCTTGCGTGATGCAGATTGCTAGGTCTATCTTTGACCATCAGAGGGGACCTCGACAGGCTGTAGAGATGGGCAGAGGAGGAACCTCAGGAAATACAGCGAAGGCAAGCACAGGGTCCTGCACCTGGGGAGGAATAACTCCAGGCACCAGGACAGACCGGGGGCTGACCTGCTGGAAAGCAGCTCTGCAGAGAAGGACCTGGGAGTCCTGGCGGACAACAAGTTGACCGTGAGCCAGCAATGTGCCCTTGCGGCCAAGAAGGCCAATGGTGTCCTGGGGTGTGTTGGTCGAGGGAGGTGATCCTGCCCCTCTCCTCAGCCCTGGTGAGGCCTCACCTGGAGTACTGTGTCCAGTTCGGGGCTCCCCAGTACAAGAAAGACATGGAGCCGCTGGAGCGAGTGCAGCAAAGGGCTACTAAGGTGATAAAGGGATTGGAGCAGTATGAGGAAAGGCTGACAGAGCTGGGGCTGTTCAGCCTGAAGCAGAGAAGACTGCGGGGGGATCTGATCAACGGGCATAGGTACCTGAAGGGAGGGTGTCAAGAGGATGGGGCCAGACTCTTCTCCGTGGTGCCCAGCGCTAGGTTGAGAGGCAGCGGGCACAAACTGAACCACAGGCAGGTCCATCTGAACGTGAGGAAAAACCCCTTTCCTGGGAGGGTGACTGAGCCCTGGGGCAGGTTGCCCGGAGAGGCTGTGGAGTCTCCGTCCTTGGAGATACTCAGAAGTCATCTGGACACGATCCAGGGCAATGTGCTCTAGGTGACCGTGCTTGAGCAAGGAGGCTGAACTAGATAATCTCCAGAGGTCCCTTCCTACTTCGATCTTTCTGTGATATCCTACAAAGGTTATCGTTAGGAGCAGTAAACAGACCTATTGCTTAGGTCTGAGCGTGCTCCAAATCGCAAGTCTGCTTCTGACTCTTAGGTTGGCTTTTGGATCCTATAACTCTCTCATTTTACCAGGCTGTGGCTTCTTGGTTGGCATTTCAGAATGCTTGGACCAGTGGTGCCTGACTTAATAATGGAGAGCTTAGCCACTTCCTTTTAACTGTCTGTCCTCTGAACTGCAGGAGAACACTCCTTGTTTTCTATGTGAGAGGTTTTGCATTTCGGGACAGAACAAAACAGCCCATTCCTAACAGTCCTCTGTTCTGCCATTTTATCTACAAAGTGTGGAAAAAAGTTGTAAAAATAATTTTGGTCAGTAGTTGTTGATGGAGTTTCTCCTAGTGTTTCTGTAAAAAATGGACTTGGGAAGAAAGACCTTCCTATATTTAGAATTTATTTTCTGATAGCTGTTTGATTTTTGAAGCACCTTTTTTTTTCTTTTGTTTTTTTAAACAATCTTATTAAAATGAAAAAAACTCATGTATAAGTTTTGTTTGTGGGACGAGCTCTTGATAGGACCTACACAAATACCTGCCTTCCGCTCCTTGTCGCTTGGTTCATGCACCGTCTTCTGCATGACTCTCATGGAGCTTCTGCTCTCTGTTTTCTAGGCAGAACCCAGATGTGCAGCTGCAGTTACAACAGAGACCACCTCACCACCACAGCCCAACTTCTTCCTTAACGTCCTTGGGATCTTTGACCTTGCTTCAGTCTCCGCCACCATCCAGGCTGTCCCCTTCCCAACATCAGCCACCCCTGACCCCAAGCCAGGGAGATCCTGCCATTCTGCCACGGACCCAGCAGCCGTTCTTGTCAAACCAAGTCCATCAGGGAGATTTGTACCGACTATGTCAGCCCTTCCTAGGCCCGCAGCAGCAGCAAGGCGACTCCTATTCAGTAATGTCCAGGGCTCAGCAGATACCTTCCCCGTATCAGCAGATGCAAGTAGATCCTTTTGCCATAGTTTCCAGGGCCCAGCAGATGGTAGAAATCCTGTCAGAAGAGAACCGGTCTTTACGACAGGAGCTGGACGGGTGTTATGAGAAAGTAGCCCGGTTGCAGAAGGTGAGTGTTCTTGGGTGTTAGGTACTCTCCTGTGTCTAATGCCCTCCATAACTGAATCATCTAGTCTGCATTTGTTACACTGCGTGCTTAAGGGACTGATTAGCTACTTTAGAGTCTTACGTAATCTAGATTGATCAATCTGTATCCTGTTCCTTTGGGTAGTAACTCAGCTTCATCAGAAGGTACCATCAAAGTCCTCAGTTTTATTCCAACAGGTGACTGGCCACGCTCCAAGGAGCCTTTGCCTTACAGCGCGAGCGGATTAGTGCCGCTTGCAGGTTAGGGCTTTGTGGGCCTTGCAGTGCTCTTTGCACTGAGCGTTCTCCAGGGCCATAAAAACATGCGGCTCGTGATGAAACACTTGTTTGAGTTCACATGGCTAGTGTGGCTTCCCACACTGGTTCATTCCCTACGTTACCTCTTTCCAGGGATATATTCATTGTGGTGGTGTTTTTTTTTTTTCCTTTGGAAGGTTCCTGGGCAGGAAGTGCTTTAGTGAAATGTGTGACAGCTTCCTGATAATGAAAGAAGGATAAAAACGAACTCTTCTCCTTCCCCTTGTTCATCCTTTACTGGAGACAGGGCTGATGGGGTTTGCTATTGCTTGGATCCACGCTTCCGTAGCAGTATAAAACCACGCCGGGTGAGAAGAGTTAGAGGTGAATCTCCTTCTGCCTTGGGAGATCAGTTGCTTGCTCAGGATCATACTGAGACGCTTTACACTGAAGGTTAAAAGGAAGGAGAAAATATTTTATTGCAACTGTTCTCCCTTCCCCCCCTAAACACAATTTAGTAAATTGAATATTTAAAAAATACTAATGAAATTGTGGACTTGTAAGCAAAGAACATCAGGAGGTTTTATTGTGAACTTTGGACCATAAAAAATACAGAGCTGCGGAGTTCATCAGTTCAGAGTTCATCAGTAATGCAGGATCTGGCAATAGCATTTTTTAGCATAGTTTTGTCTGCTTTTCTTGTTTTATTGTACTTATTCAGCTTGCTATCACGTTAGCTGTTTATGTAATTGTTTTTTGCCCAAAATAACAGTAGTGTCAAACTGTTACGCGCTCTCCCAATCTTAAAGAAGAAGAAGAAGAAGAAAAAAAAAGCAGTTGACATTTGTGCATTTTCAATTCCCTGTATCTGTGCTCTGATCATGCTAGGCAAACAGTTAGAGCTAGCGCCTGGAAGGAGAGTCTAGTCTCCCCCCCCCCCCCCAGCCATTGGCTTTAGAACAGAGGATCCCTTGCAAATCTGAGGCTCTGTAGTTTTACGTGATGTATAGGTGTAGGTGTATTTTATCTCAGTAAGGAAAACTTTAGAGCCTCAGAAGGAAGATTACTTTCTAAGTAAAATGTATTGCTAGTGATGAAATAGTAAGTGCTTGTGTTTTCACTTCCACTGCAGCTGGAGACAGAAATTCAGCAAGTTTCAGAGGCATACAAAAACCTGGAGAAATCATCCTCTAAGCGGGATGCCCTGGAAAAGGCCATGAGAAATAAGCTGGAAGGAGAAATTCGTAGGCTTCATGATTTCAACAGGGATCTGAGAGGTGAATGAAATAAAACTTTTCTTTGTAATTTGGTGGTGTTGTACTTAACAGGCCAGTGTTTTGCTGCAGGATTCATTGTTTAGCACCACTGGAATATGACAGGATACTCAAGTGTACTCAGTCTGCGATTGGAAGCAGTTGCTGGGGGTATGGAAAAGACAGGTTTAGGAGAGTGCTCTAGTCTCTCGTTACCAGCCTGTTTCTCATTGAGAAGCAGCATGTGATAAGCCAAATACCATAAAACAGATGCAAGCCTGGAATTCTCTCTTGTCTTATATATCCTAGACACAATTTGTACAATTTGTTCAGTTTACACAAATGGAAAGACGTTTTGCTGACTGCCTAATCCCACACCAGGCATGTTCACTTTATTTCCTGTCCAGTGACCCCTTTGCACTGACATACAAACTGCAGACTGTCTGCTCTTCCTGAAGGTCTTGTCATTTCTTATCAAAGTAGGCATCTGGTTTTTTGGATCCCCCTCTCTTTTCCAGGGTGAGATGTTATTAGCATCTGGTTCTTGCTAAGAGGTAGTACTGTGGCTGGGAATGGAAAGCGGTGTTGAATGGTATTTGACCTTAACATGGGTCAAAGTTTAAGCATTACTGTTTGAAAGGCGAAAAACATTTGTGATTTTAGATGTTTAGAGGTATATATAGTAAGTCTTTTAAAATATAAGTTAAATTTTTTTATATAAGCTTTCTGGTTGATCTATGCATCATCTCCTCTCATTTCCTTAGTCTCTTGCTAAGAGCATGTTCCCAGAAACTGTTTTGCGTCTAAGAAGTAAGGCCATACAGTGCCTGGTGCTATCGAGAAGGACAGTACACAAAGGCCTGCATTTTAATAATCTTATTCATAATAAAATTCATAGCATAAACATTTCATTTGTATGTTCATAGTCTGATCTAAACTTCTGATAGCCTGCAGCAAGCAGAGCTGTTAAACTATGCTTAGGATTTTACGTCTTTCCCTAAAGTCAGGTAACTGAACAACAGTAATTTGATCTTCAACGTCTTATAACTGAGTGGAGGATTGTAGGGGAATCTCTTAATTGTATGGTGAGATTTATTTGGGTGGAAGAAATAAGTTTTCTTTCTGGAGATGTTTGAAAACCTTCTTTATAAACAGATGCAGTATGAAAGACTGAAATGAATCTATTTCTTGTACTGAAGTCTATGAAGCGGCTCAACATATTTGTAAAGATAGAACAAATAAACTTATATGTTATAATTGTTTCAAGTAATTTATTTGGGGCTCTCCTTAATCCATTTTGACTCGTTGTGAATGTCTTCTCAAGGGCATGGTTGGAAACATTTCAAAAGTGTTTTTTACTTTTGATTGTGTAGCATTAGGAGATCTGTTCCCCTAGCTTGCAGTAGAAGTGTCCTGAGGAGGTGTGACTTAATTCCTGAAAGTTTTTGATTCTTCTGTGTTTCTTTTGCTGCAAAATTCTGCAGAACGCATGGAGACGGCCAACAAGCAGCTTGCAGAGAAGGAATTTGAGGGGTCTGAAGACAATCGGAAAACCATCTCTCAACTCTTTGCACAAAGTGAGTTACGTGTTTGTTGTGGGTCAGTAGAAATGCTCTGGTCAGTCTGGGAAGGATAAAAAAAAAAAAAAAATGTAACGGGTTAGCATAGTTCAGATCTGTCAATCTGTCCATTTTCCGTTTTCTACTCGGGCAGAAATCAGGGCAGCGGCATTCCAAAACCGGCAGTGGAGAAAGGAGGTGGAATTCAGCATTCCCTTTCTGTTGGTGTGTAAAATCCATCTGATCCATCTCATTTATTAGAGATTTCAGAGTAAATAATGTGCAGTTACCTTGCAAAATCAGTGTTTATGCCATAACGTGCAAGGTAATTTGTGCACCTGTTTTGTCCCCTGCAAGCTTTGGACTTAAACCGTACCAGACTGGCAAGAGTCCCGGCATGAGTTAGGGCCAGTGGGCCTGAGACCATGAAGGTCTCCCACCTCTTTCCTCTTTAATTTGCCACTGCCGTATCCAGTTCGGCAAAAATAAAGGGGATTAACACTGCCTCCAGCATATGGCTGGCTGGGTGAGGGTCATGGATTCTGTCCGCAGCAGTGGATTTACACAAGGCAAACCAAAACGACAGATGTGAAATACTGCTTTTTCTTTGTATGGAAATGTCTTGAGGCTGACAGCAGCGAGCCAACTTTCCTCTCATCCCATGGTGTGCTCCACCCTTCTGACAATGCTCACTTTTCTCCAATTGTTATATAAAAGGTAATGCAATAAAATTGCAAAACAGAGAAGACTTTCCATGGTGCAACACTCATTGCTTCTCTGACAAATGCTGGTATCCCTTGCTGGTGTTGTCTTTAGCTTATTCCTTATGGCTTAACATTGCAAATGGATGGCTGTCAGGGCGTGAATTCAACTCTCCTGGTGGTGGAGGGAAGTCTGTCGGTTTAGTCTAGCTTTTAAACCAAGTTGATGGACTTTGAGATTCACAGAGGCACCCAGAGAGGTGGGAGGAAGTGTTTTGTTGCTTATGGTAACTCTGAATAGAAGGCCAAAGCTGTGAGGCCTTACATGCTGCCACGCGTTTTGGATGAACACGGAAACCTCTCAGTGCTGCAGTTCGTTGGCGTCAGCATTTGTAGGGGTGCTGAAGGCACTTGTGAGTGAAGCAGTGCTCGTTTGGGGAAAAGTCAGAAGAAAAGCTCCCAAAGCCTAGCTGCAAGCACTTGCAGATTAACAAACAGACTGTTGGCACTGATTGATGCCTTCTGGCGTAATGCCACTCTGTCTCATCTCTACCCATCTTCTGCAATGCACTGTGGCAGGCTGACGCTGTCAGCAACTCGTCTCCTGGGTGGAGGAGAAATACTGAGGTGGGGGAAACGGGTAAAAGAATAGGCTGGTGGTAATAGCCTCGATCCGTGTGTCTTGCAGCATGAGCTGGCTCCGAGTTGCAATCCGAGTTTGCTCTGCAGGGTTCTGGAGCGCTTTGTTTGTGCATAGCTTTCTTTTGCAACCTCTGTGTGGGCTGCACAGCTTCCCTAGCAGAAGGGAATCTATAGTTACTCCGTGTTGCTAAAGCTTTGCTCTGGGCTCTCTGCTGGCAGAAGAAAGGGAATAATTGTGGTCCTGTAAATATAGTTATGCAGATGCTTGCACAAATGGGCCTGTGTACTCCATATGCAGTCTCTCCGAACACCCAGGATCTAGTTCCTGTTTTTCAAGCCTTCCACTCCTTGTCCTCATTCCTTTGTCGTGGGATATTGGTTTCTGGAATGCAGCTTCTCTGGTGTCATCAGCGCTGGGTGTAGATCACTCCGGGGAGTATTCTGTGGTTATGTATCCAGTGAGTGTGCTAATGTTATCATTGTAGCTGGCTGGCTTGAGCTGAGAATGACAACACATGCAGAGGACATCAGCTCTCTGTTGTGGCTTTGCTTTACCACCCTTGTGTGATAATTTCTCCAGTCCCCAGCTATTTTTTCCAGTTTTTTTGTAATGAAGGCAGTTGCCCTGTTTCTGAAACAGCACAGCTGCTCCCACCAGGTCCAGCTGAAAGGAGTTGCTGGGTTTGGAGTGGTTTTAAAGCTTTGGGCATGAACTCGCAACGCTGGGCGAAAGGCTTTCCTGAACTGCAGGTCTCCTTTGAGCAGTGACAGGGTAGATACAGGTGCCGCAGTTCTAGCCCAGAGAGTCATTTTTAAGGGCAGCAGAAGAGGACTGAGGCGTTGTCATTGCTCGCTTGTTTCCTGGCTCCTCTGATGAAACTACCGGCAAAATAGGACAACCGGGTGGTAGTTTGAGAAGGAGGGCAGCTACTCCAGACAGGGCCACCTGACTTGTGGGGTCAGCGTAGGAGAAAGGAGCACAAGTCTTTTAGGCACAGAAGTCTACCATCTCCTCTCCACAGCCTGGGATATTAAAATTACTCAGTTTGTTTTCCAGTGCTGAAATCTCAGCGGTGAAGAGGTGCCAAGTTTCACTAGCTGTCTATATAATCAGAGCAAATTGTCTAACTGTACTGAGTGAGGCACCTTCTAGCCCTCCTCGCTAGCGCTGCGGCTCATTGTCACTTGAAGTGTCACGCCTGATTTCAGGGTTGCAAATTCTTCTCCTCCTTGAAAGCCGTGCACTTTTTTCCCCTTAGCAACAGATTCTCCCTTTTGTAGGAAATTCCAGTAGAAGTTGCCCCATCTTTCCTTCACCGGTGGAGTGAAGGACTCCTGAAAGCTGGCTAGAGAAAGAGTGCTGTCTGTTGATAGCTATCGCTTTATTTTCCATAGACAAGGAAACACAGCGGGAAAAGGAGAAACTGGAAATAGAGCTGGCTGCTGCACGTTCCACCAATGAGGACCAGCGAAGACACATCGAGATCCGAGACCAGGCCTTGAACAATGCTCAGGCCAAGGTGGTGAAACTGGAGGAAGAGGTAAGGCTGCCGGGAGAGAGAATCTGGGATAGCTTGCGTCCCAGTAAAAGTGACTGTGGGAATGGGTTTGTCTTGTGCAAATTAGGAGGAAATCTGCTTGCTTCAAAGCTGTTTATATCGGCTTAGCTTTGTGTTGGTTAGCTAAACCACTGAACTGCACGCAGCTAAGCCACAAATCTCTCTTTCCTTGGAAGGGCTTTCACCTAAGCAGCCACGTTTCATTTTCTTTTTGTTTTAACTGATAAAAGTGGGCTGGAACTGAAATTCCAGCCCTGACAACCTCCTGAACTTGGCAAAAGTTTGGGGCTGGATGGACTTTTAACTAATAGCAAATGGGTCCAGCTTGTTCCCTTGCCAGGTGTTCCACTTAGCCCACGTTATTGCGGTGCACAGCAGTGCAGATCACGGAGTGTCCCCAGCATTCATAACAAGCTGGGCATGACCTTGGTTGTTTTCTTTCCCCTCCCTTCCTCCCTCTTGGGAGGGGATAATGCGTTTGAGCAGTTTAGCTGGACAGCTTTCACAGCAGTGTCTTTTGTAGCCTTGTCCCTTCCATTCGCACACGGCTCCCACCTCCCTGCGTCCGTCCTCTTTCCTCCTGCCTACTCCTTTCCTCTCCAAGGCGCCATTTCCCACTCCCAGCCTCTGCTTCCTTTACTCCTACTCTTCCTCCACAGAGAGCCCCTGGAGGAAATCTCATGACCAAGCGGACTTCCTCCACTGCAGATTTGTTCTCTCCTCCTTCAATTCTGCCATCTGCCTGCCTACCAGCTCTTGTCGCCTCCCTCGGTTGCGCACTGTGCCTACGTCCAGCTGTGTCTTGCCATCTTGGCGATGTAGCTCAAACCCTCCTCTTGTCTGCTTCTACTCTTCTCTCCATTCAGGATCCTCCTGCTCCAGCAGAGGACAGTGCTCAAGCCTCCTCTCTTGTCTTGTCTGTCCGCCTCCTATCTCCTGGCACAGATGTAACCTTTTTCTTAAGTTTAGCCTGCTCTTTTGTAAGCTCTGTATTTGCCCCAGTACCCCTTCCCCTGAATCCCCCTGTCCATTTCTTTTCCTGCTGGTTCCTCATTTTTGCCCCTGGCAGTACGCTGCTTTTAATCGCTTCTGTTTCACGGAAGCCCTCCCTCAGTCGCTCCCTTCCTGGATCTGCTCTGCTCTGCTCATTCAGGTGCTGATGCAGGCCTACCTGTCGTCATACTTGGGCCGTATCAGCCTCTCTCCCCAGTTCCCCCCCTTGCTTCTCTTTCTCCACCACATCAAATGCAGGCGGCTGGTCTTTGCTTTCCAGGACCCTCATGGCTAACCCCATCCTGTTTGTTTTCTCTCCTTGCTGTTGAGGGTATATTCTACCAACTGCCCTGTTTTCCCCACCACCGAACAAGCACCTCTGTGCTTTCTCCCAGAGTGCCTTCACCTTCCCTGCAAACACCGGCAAAGCTGCTTTGTTTTTTACCCTTTGCTGCGATGCCCATGACATGGCTGGCAGTGGCTGGCCACAAAGCCTACTGCCTGTCATGCTAATCCAGAGTTTGTCTCACTTGGCTTGCGCTGCGTGTGTGCTTCCGCCTGTCGTCTCAAGTCCCCGACAGGCTCTGAGCTCTCAGGCCAGGGAGCTTTCATTTGTATAGTGCTTAGCATCGCCAGGCCCTGCCCCGTCGGTGAGGGACCAGCATCTCTGTGAATACAAATCACAATAATTAAAAAACAACAAAAAAAAACCCACTAAAAACCAAAAAACCAAGAGCAGAGTCAGAAGAATGCTTCAGTATCACAGGCTGTGTTCAGCCCTGCTGTGCACAGCTACGAGTCCATTGGTTTCACTAGAATAGCAGCATCTCCTGGCACCGCAGGCTTGCACCTTCGTTGCTCAGGAGGAAGGAGATTATTAGGTGGGGATAATTTAAACATGAGATGATTCTGTTTGGATCTAAAGCTATTCTGACATTTGAGCCTGCAATATATTGGGCTCTTTGGCTGTCATTAAGAGCTCAGCACCTTAATGACTCTAAAAATCTGGTGTGAGATTAAGTACGCAAGCCATCCTCACAGCTTCCCTGGAGCGATGCACCTGCTTGGAGTCAGCACGCGTATAGGTGCTGTGATCAGCCAGGGCCAGCATGCACGGCGCTCGACTAGGTCGAACCTCTGTCTAGGCGCTAGTATTGGCTTCCTCGTGGTGAAGTTGGAGCCTTTAGAGGCAATAATAACTGTAAGTTTTTTTTTTTTTTTTTTAAAGACCGCCTTCTTTTACTAGAAGAATTGAATATGGTGCTGTTGCAAAACACTCTGCCTAGGTAAAATAGTGAAATAAGTAAATCTGGGCTAGGTTGCGTGATACCTTAAAAAACACACAAATGTGCATATGCTGATTTTGAGTGAAATGCCCTAGTCTAGCTTGCATGAGGGCTTGTGGTCATTTGCCTCCAACCTTTGCTCGAATCCCAGGGTGCTCAGGAAGTGCCACCCTTCCTGTTGTAGATAAATATGGAAGCGTCTCAGGGAGCAGGAATTAACTCTGCTTTTTCCTAGAGGTGAGAGGGAATAAAGAGGAAAAAAAGGTTTCCCAAATCACTTTTTAATGAAATACTTAGGATTATAAAGCTTTTGTTGCCTCGTTAGCATTAAGTTGTGGGAACTTCTCAAATCCCTGAGCTCTTGGGTAGCTTTCCGAGCAAGCTGTTCGGTGCTCAAAGCACCGCTGCAAAAGAACTTGCAATGTCACCCTGAGTTAGTGGCGTTCAGTGACCAGGCTATATGAACAATTTGGCAATTCTTTCTTTTATTCCTGCCAGCTTCATGTGAGTTGCTAGTCCCTGTAATTGTCAGGAATTTGCAAACTCGTCCTGCAGAAGAGGGTGGAGTTTCTTACGCTAAGGTTTGGCAGCCGCTCTGGCTCCAGGCCTGAGGGGGCCGTGCATATTTCAGTGGTAGCATCCTGTAATGTGATTTTTCAGCTTTTTTTTTTTCCTCCTTCCTTTTTGACTTCCTATGAAGCAGAGTTATCCTGCTTTGTATTCAGCAGATTCTTTATTTAAAAAAACAAACAAACGTATTGCATTTTGATGAGTGCTGTAAGCCACATATCACTATAGCTGAATTTAAATATTGCTGTGAAATCAGAGCCTCCAGATTCTTTTGAAAGTCCTGTGCCTGAATTGCCAGTTTGGGCAAAAACGCCCGTATGTAAAACGTAGATAGCTGTCTGCTCCTATGGATCTTTGTGAGGTTTTATAGACGTTAGGTTCTGGCGTCCAAGACAGAGCGAAGAAAGAGAAACACGGACGCTGAGTGTTACGGAGGGATGCTCCTGGAGATATCTAAATATAGCGTGAAGCAGTCGGAAGCAAAAGTGGGCATTCACAGGGTGTTTTCCTCTGTCTGTCAGGAGTGGTGAAATGACCCTTCAAGTTTAGGGTAAGCAGCCATTAAATTTAGGTAGCGTGGAGTTTATTTCTGCAAAGTGGTAAAACGGGTGAGTGATCGTGGGTATTTAAAACAAACTTAAATATGTCTACAAACAGCCCTGCAAAGTGTATATATATGTTGCATATGTAATATTTAAACTTTATTACTTCTCTGCTATACATGAAGATACGTGGTATTTTTAACCCTTATTTTCACTTTTCCGTTTTCATTCTTCCCTTTACTAGATGTTTCACTGAAATGCTTAAGTCAGCAGCCCAGCAAGATTGTTCCTAGTGAAGTGTTAGTCTGTTCTTTTCTAAATCAAAGCCTCAGATTATTTTCATTACTCAGAGTAAGCTCGAGATAAGTTGAGTACGTTTGAAGTAAAACGCGTGCTGGCTTAAAAATATATATAGCAGTCAAAAGTGGTCAGTGATAGCAGTATTATCAACTAAAAATGCTCATTTTGGAGCATGGATTGCCTTGATAGTCCCAATTTTGTTGTAAACGTTTGAATGGCTGCTGCGCGCAGCAGGTGCGAGGCTGGTAGACAGTCACGGGTGGCCTGTATGTGGGTGCCTTTAAAATAGTCATGTTACCGTGCTTTAGCCAATATCTGCTAGCATATACCTTAAGAGCCTTCAGTGAGGAGAGCACGGTGTTAAACTTCCCTTTGCTCTGAGCCAAAGGAGAATTGCAGGGTTTACAGAAAGGAGCATCCTGACCAGTCTGCAAACTCTGGATAAAAGCTGCCTTATTTCAAGTCCTTACCAGGCTTGTAGTACTGCACCAGGGAGTGAGTTTGTTTGCCAAATATTTTTACCTAACCACAACTGGTGGAGGTGAAGGGCTCAACTGCTGCTGCTTTTGCACTTTTTTAAAAGGAATTTGTAGAACTCGTATTGAATTTGGTCGCTTCTCCTTGCCCTGGTTGGTTCTCCCCGTGGAAAGCTGCGCTTCGAGTTAAAAAAAGATCTGTTCTAGTAGTGTAAGTTGTCCTCCCTTGCTCCACCGCTTTACAAAGCCACTGTTTTAAGAAATGCCTTAAGGAGACAGCTTTGAAAAATAGTGACTACCACTAAGATATAAATATCCGTCCACCGTTTGCCATCTTCACGCGCATGCCTTACAAGAGGAAGAAAAGCTCGGCTTCCCCGCTCGTGGCTAGGAGTTGGGGGCGGGGGGGGTAGGTTGCGTGAAATATCTTTTCTAAAAATGGCTTATATTTAGAGGCTGAAAGATCTTTCAGCCATCAGAATTCAACATTAGCCAGATACTAGAGCTTAGATGTTATATTCATTTCCCACTCGGCTGTCGCGGAGGGAAACAGTGCGCTGTTTCTGATAAGACTGGCAGGTCTGTCCGTGGGGAAAGGGAGGCGCATTCGTTTCCAAGGGACGGCCGTTGTGCTTCGCCCGCTCTCCCTGAGCTACGTCCAGAACAGAGCTGCGGCCTGCGGGGAACAGACCCCAAGGGGAGCTGGAGCGCGCGAAGGCTTGTCTGTTCTTTCTGTTCTTTTTTTTTTTTTTTTTCTTTTTTCCCCCCTCCAATTGTATCTGGGGGGTCTACAAAAAGATATTCCTAGTCCCTAC